CACACACTCTCTCTCTCCATTTCTCTTTTTCTCTCTATATATATATATCCCTCAGATCTCTTAGTCTAGTGAAAGCAATGTGCCAGTTGTGAGCAGTTTTATGGAGAACCATGTTGGCAAAAAACTGAAGCCTCTGTCCACCAGCCATTGAAAAACTGAGACCTACCAATGAGAATGAACTTGGAAACAGATTGTCCAACCCAATCAAACCTTGAGGGACTGCAGCCCTGGACATCCACTGACTACAAACTTGTCAGAGACCCTGAGACAGAACTAGAACTACCCTCTAAGCCATGCCAGGATTTCTGACCCTCAGAAAATGTGGGATAATAAAAGTTTGTTAAAAGTCTGAATGAAAGAGTAACTTGTTATACAACAATAGATAATATACCTTGATTGCCATTATTCTGCCAGGGAGCTGCAAGCCTTCAGGCAATATCCCTTTTAGTGCTTTGTTTTTAGCCCCAAACAACCCATTGAGATTGAATGGTTTACAGCCCTCACCTTGCTGTCACATATCAGGGCCCCCTTACAATATCCCTGCAAGAGTTAGAAAAGCAGGATTATCCCATTCTGCTGAGGAAATAATTGAGGCTAAGAAAGGGCTAAATCCTTTTCCCAGGGGCACACAATAAGTGATTTATTGTGTTCTTTGGCCCCCTGGTCCCTATAAGATATGTCTTCCACTGTACTAAACAGTCGTTTATGGAAAGAGAGATGCACAGGTTCCATCCACTTGATGGGAATGTTCTGAGAGTCAGGGACCCCTTTAGAAAAAAGAACTATTCCTAGACATTGGCCTGCATAACAATCACCTGGGGACTGTCTTTAGAATGTAGATTCCCTCTCCTTCTCCAGAGATGAGATTTCTTCCATCTGAGGGTGGAACTTTCTACATATTCAACAGGTTTCCTGGAGTTTATTATACACTTTCAGAAACTGTTTTGGAAGAAAAAGGAAAAGTGGTGGCAAACAGTGATGGTAATAATGTTGGTAAATGGACAAAATAGGGAGGAGTCATGTGTTGGGGCAGGGAAGAGAAATCCTATCAGAAATCTTAAAATCATTCAACAAATGTTATAGGACACACGCAAGGTGCTGAGCACCCTATTAAGTGCTGGGGACGCAACCATCAATAAGACATATATTACCAACTATCTCGGTGGAAAAAAAAGATTCATCCTTGAAAGAAAGAGCAATACCAATAAGCATTTTAGGGAGTTTCAGGGGTAAGAGAGATGTGGGAGAAAATAGAGAAAGCCAAGGTCAAGAGAAGGACTCGGATGGACAGGTTCTAGATGCTGGGAGAAGCAGGGAGCCCACCTCTCCTGGAGCAAGCGTAGTCTATTGCTTCTGCTGTCTGCCTCCCTATGGGACTCCTTTTTCCTTCCACTTTCCTCACCTCACCCCTTCTCATTTCTCCCATTTTGCTTCATTCCATGTCTACAGTCCATCTGGCACTAATGGCTAGTATTTAAAAATACTGGAATGACACGGAATTGTTCACTTTAAAACAGTTACTAATTTGTGTCATGTGATTTCACCTCAACAAACACAATAACTGGGTGCTCAAATCCATCCAACCAAATCAACTGCCTGCCACCCTCTTGGACACTGTCATTATTAAAGACCTTCCATAGAGACGCACTGCCTCCCTACCATACCCAGGTGTATCTGCTAGACATCTGTGACTTCTCTTCCTATTTTACCATGATTCTCAAACATGCTTCAAAGATGTTTTCTCCCTCCTCTGGTCCATACTAGAAGGAAGGGGGAAGAGCACTTCTCATTAAATGTACATCACAGTGGTTCAACAGTCCCCTCCTCTGTAGTAACCACTAGTCACTTCTCAGTGTCTATGAGTCTAATGCTGTTTTGTTGATCCTGTTTTGCTTTTATATTCCACAAGTAAGTGAAATCATATGGTATTTGCCTTTCTCCACCTGGCTTATTTCACTGAGCCTAATACCCTCCAGATCAATCCATGCTGTTGCAAATGGCAGGATTTATTATCTTTTTATGGCTGAATAATATTCCATTGTATATGTACCACATCTTTTTTGTCCATTCATGAAACCACTTGTCTTCCATTCCACAGTACGGAAAGGATATTTCCTTAAAGGAAACAGGGCCACTAGATCAGCTGGGTTGGGAGTGGGAGGGGTACCTTCCCAGAGGAGGTAAAGCTAGAACTGAGGTTTAAAGGAGGCATTCACTAGTTAGTGGGCAAAAAGGGAGGAGAAGAATGTTCTACAGACAAGTTCAGATTTACTAACCTGTCTAAACCTCAGTTTTCTCACTTGTTCAATGGAGGTAATAGCATGTTCTTCCAAAGTTTGTCATGAAAGGTAAATGAGATCTCAGATATGAAACACCTAGGACAGTGCCTGCCACACCATATATGCTCAACAAATGCTGTTTTTTCTTCTTCCTTACCCTCCACCTTCCCCATATGTGATCTTGGGAAAGGGAAAATGGGATGAAGAGGAGGCAAAGTTCCCTATGGGGTGGGTTGTAAGCCCTTTTGTCCACCCAGGTGATTGGTGATCACCATGGAATCTGGCCAAGCTAGTTGTCTGGAATGAGTGGCCTTAGGGATAAGTGATCACAGGATTGTGTGAAGGCAAATACATGGACAGTTGAGAATGAAGGGAGTCATGGCAGGTAGTCCCTCTCCTCCACACTATCTCTAATCCTCCAGTCAATCCTGCTCACTCACTCTTGACACTCCTGAAATAACAGGTAACCTCAAAAAAAGCAGAAAGGGGCTGTAATACTTATCAAGTACTGAGGACACAGCTGCCATCAGGCTAGGTGTGACTGGGCATGCTTTGTCTAGTTTGACCTTAAGATGCAGGTACCAATTACAGAGAGTAAAGCTAGAGCCCAGAGTGGGGAAGTCAGCTGTCCCAGGTCATTTGCTAGTGAGGAGTGAAGCTGGAATTCAAACCTGGGTATCCAAAATTCCAGGCCAGGGTTCTGTTGCTTTAGGTTACCTTTACTCCCTCTAGAGCTGATCTCTGCCTCGGGGAAAGTGGGGAGGAGGTGGACACAGACAAGAGATGCTGTCAAGAAAGTAACTTGTATAAGTGTGCATGGTTTCAGTCATGTCCCTCTGCAGTCCCCCTGCCCATTCCCCCTGTGGGGCTGGCGATAGGGAAAACTGGGGGGATGGAGGGAATACACAGTGTGGCTGGGAATACTGGAGTGTGTGGCTGTGCTCAGAGCTCCCCTCCCCCACCCTCTCCTAAGCACCGGGGAAGGGTGTTCTCAACCCTTGGCAGGCCCTCTTTTCAACCTCCAGACTTTGCGTCTGCCCTTCATTTCGTGCTCCCTCAGCAAAAGCTAAGGTGCAAAAAAGGGGATCTCATAAACACTTAAGCCTCCACATCTAACTCCCCCTCCACCACCACCACCACCCCGCCAGTCAAGCCAGCTGTGCAGACTCTGGGCAGGAGTAAGGAAGCCTTTACAATCAATTCCTCCTTAAATAACAAAGGGGAGTGGGACCCCCTACCCAGTCTGGGTCACATGTTCTAGAGAAGGGACACCAACCCAGGTCCCCAGCGTCTCTTCCTGAAGCCCACCCTGAAGCTTAAAGAACAAAAGCTAGCAGCTGGGTACCCCCACCCCCAACCCCGAAAGGAGGGAGCCAACTCTCTTTTCCAGACGTCGCTCCTACCCTCCCTCCTCCTTGCTAATAGGTATTTCCTGTTTATGAGGCAGCCAGGGCTGGGCTTTTAGGAAGGGATGGAGATGGAGCCCCCTCCCCTTCTAGGGTTGGGTTGGGGAGTCCTTCGAGGGCCTGGGGGTTGGGAGACTCCTCTCTAGGTAATGAAAGTTCCTTACATTGACCATCCAGATCATCCTCCCTGTCACCCCCCACCAAGTCTCAGCTCCTACATGTTAGGGGACACTGGAGCGGTCTGCTTCCTGTTCTCCCCAGTCTCAGAGGCCCGTAAAGGAGAGCAGCTTCCAGGCGAGAGCTGGGGTGGGGCAGCTGAGGCCGAGACTGGATGGAGAAAGGGGGAAGGGAGGGAAGTGTCTTGAGTTATGAGTCAAAGCCTGCAAGGGGGAAGGATGGCCAGCGGATTCCTCCCTTTCCAGTTCAACCTGGCGGTCATTCCGCTGCCCCAATTCCCCCTGAAAAACACAGATCCCAGGATCTTGGGCGGGCTAGGGAGGAGACCCCACTTAACTAACCCTTTTAGCTCTAGTCCCAACTGGTTTAGCAGGCAAGGAAGGAAAGAGTGGTTAATTTACGGAGGAGCTGAATTGAGGGTTTGCCACACAAATTAGAATAATGCTTCTTTCTCCACCCACATTGGGGTGGAGGGCGAGCAACACGGGGCCTACAGAGTAAGACTGGAGTCTAGGCAAACAGCATGGGGGGGGTCGGCAGTCCCTTTTCCCTCCCAGCGCGCGCCCGGGGTGGAGAGCTACACCTCACAGCCCACCCTGGCTCCGCCTCCCCCAGTCCCGGCTCCCGCTCCGGCTCCTCTACGCTCCCAATTCGGCGGCGCCCGAAGGACGGACACCGAGTGTGAGGGTTTGCCTTTTATCCCTCCCCCTCACGCTCCCTCTCCGGGGTCTCTGCTTCCATCTCCTTTTTTTAAAAGCTGCGTCACAAGCTGCCGTTCCCTGAACGCTCCCGGCCTCTCGCCGCCGCCCGCCGCGCGGCGCACGCACGTCGTCGCTGGCTGCGCGCTCGCCCGGGTCACTTTGACACGGCTCTCCCCTCCCACTAGCAGGCAATTAGCATATTAATAAAGCCCGGCCCAGCCCTGCTGGGGCTGGTGAGCGGGCGCCGACGGGAGCAAGAGAACTAGAGCGAAAGGGAGGGGGGCGGCGAGCGGCGGCAGCGCACAGACACGCACACGCACACGCGCACACACGGATCCACACTCCGGGGACGCACACTCGCGCGCACACGCAGAGGCAGCTCGTCTTCCTGCCTGGTTTCCTTCCTGCCTGCGCCGCGCCTGACAGGCCCCTTGCTGCATCCTGGGGACGCCCGCACCGGGCCGTGGCCGGGCCGCGCCGGCTGCAAGGGCAGCAGGAGCCGCGGGCGGCGGCGGCGGCTCATGCTCGGCCTGTCCCCGCGCGGGGCGGGCACCGTGACTCGGCTGGGCCCCCAGCGGCGGGCGATGTGAAGATGTCAGTGGGCTGTGCCTGTCCTGGTGAGTGGGACGCGCGCCCCCCCGGTCCCTCCCTCAACTCTCTCCGCGGATCCCTCACCCCTTTGGCGAGAACTTGTGTGGGGGGCGTCGATGCATGGCAGAGGTCGAGAGCTGTGAGGGGCATGCGGGGGTCCTCGGTCCGGCGTAGGATTTTCCCCAACTGTGTAAATGCGCAGCAGCCCAGAGGCACGGGGAGGGGGTGCTGGGGGCGCTTGTGTGTATGGTTTTTTTGGGGGGAGACTAATGGGGAGGGGCTTGGGGGGGCTGAAATTCCCAGAATTCCAGGGTGTTAGCCAATCAGAAGTGAGCTTGGACTTTTGACCCCCCCCTTAGGTCATCGTAGAGTTGTGATTGGCTGGTTTGGGTTGCCCCCCCCCCACCCCCTCCTTCCTTGCAGCCTAGTCCCTCTTATTTGTCCTGTGACAACCCCCTCCAGGCTGTTTCTGAGCACCGTGTTTGGGGGGAGGGATTGATTTGGGCCTATCTTGCCCCCCCACTCCAGATTTTCCTGCCTGTTGCCAGGGAAGGTTGGCCCTCCTGGGGGACAGGAGGTACCCCGAGGGGATAGGGGGCAGATAATTGGGCCCTCGGGTCTGGCATCTTTGCCCTAGTAGGAGGGGGAATGTGGCAGCCCCAGGCAACCTAGGAAATGGAGTGATCTGGGAGACTTGGGGTTGAGCGGAGCAGTGCTTGACCCCAAAGTGGGGACTTTAGAGGGGACTTAGGCTCAGCTCCCTGCCTCCCCAAAACACAAATGAGATCTTACCAGTGACAGCCTGGGTCTGAGTTCTTTCCTGGGGAGGGGGAAGGCTCTTTCTTCCTGCTAGGAGGAAACATAGGCTATGTGACTGGAAAGGTAGTCCTTAGAGGGCCTCGGAATACTGTCTATCCCTATCCGCAGGACTGGGTTCTTGAGTTATTTGCAGGAACCCCCTCCTGTCCCATACTGGAGTTGGCTTTCTTCTGAAAGTCAGGTGGCTCTGAATCTAGTCTGGTTTGGATCTTTGGCCTCCTCAGGGTGCTGGGTTCTCTGGTAGGCCCATATCCCACAACTGGACCCCATCACATGCATGCGCACGCACGCACACACACACATGTGCTCACGCACACACACACAGAGTCCCCAGGGGATGTGTAGAACTTTCCTTGAAAATCATGTGACCCAGGCCAGGCTGGGTTGGGCTGGGCACACACTTATTAAAGTTTCTGCTGAGACTGACGTTTAAGGGGCATGGGGCCCAGAGGGAGGGCTAGTAGAGCCTGAGGATCCTGGAATATCCGGGTGTGGGAACCCTTGGCTCCTGCTGCAGAGGGTGGGGAACAGCTTGCCAGACTGGAATCCTGCCTGTCCCCATCGTTCCTCCTAACAGCTTTGTATGCATGTTTGTGTGTGTATTTTCTTTATAACTGCCCCAAGCTGGGTAGGTCTATCCATGCTCTGAGTCTACCTCATGGCTTTGATCCTTCATCACCACACATGAACATAGAAGAAACTAAGAAATAAGCTAAAGGTCTGAGTCTAAATTTTGATTCTTAGTTCTTAACGAATACTGGTTAGGAGGTGGGTAGGTATGGAAGGGTTGTTAGTCTGGAGGTAGATGGGAGGTTGACCCTGAAGTTGGCACAGGGTGCCCAGGTCAAGTAGGAAAAGGGAGAGAGTTTTTCGTTCAGTCTCTCTGGGAGCAGCATGGAGACAGGAAGAGGACCCATGCATAGGAGTGTGTGTGAGGAGGGACAGCTTCAGTCATTGCCCCAAATGGTGTGCTCCTTTTGTGTGTCTGGTGGCCTGGTTGGCGGAGAGGGGGGCAAAAGATAGCTAAGAGTAGGGAGTCTTTTTCTGAATGTGAAGAAGTCTTACAGATTGATGCCACAAGATGGATGGAGGTTTTAGACTTCAAGGAGAACCACATGGGGAGGGGCTTGAGAGTGGCCTGGAGGTGGGGAATAGTAGGATTTGGGGTAAGGGAGGGGACCAGGCTTGCATGGGTGGGTGGGAGCACATGGTTGAACACAAGGGCATCATGGCAGCATGTACAGTCCAGGCCCAAAGACACCTCCAACCTGAGCAGCTTTGGGGTGGGGGTTTGAGGTGCCCTGGCAGGCCTCCTGCCTGCTGCCTGCCTTCCTATCTGCATCTCTCCTTTGTGCTCTGCTGTCTCCCGGCTCCTCCTCCTCCCCCAGCCAGACAGAGACAGCACATGCCCCACACATGTGACTGAGGGAAGCCAGAGCACACGCAGACCCACACACATGCATACACGGAAGGAAACACCACAAGATACACACATACAGCTCCCATAGTTCCTCTGGGGTGGGGAGTATCTTCTGCGGGCTTGGGTCAGGAACAGGGACGACCTCTTCTAAGGAACATCACCCAGGAAGGGCAGGTTACTGAGGGGGCCAGGGCCTGTCTGGGGCAGCATGTGGCTCTGAAGGGTTAAGGTAGGGAGGAGTAGGGGGAGGGGAGGAGGCAGCAGTGGTGGTGGCTGGGAGCCAGGAGAGGAGGATGGCAGAGCGCCAGGCCGAGAGGCCGGGCACAGACAAAGGAAGGGGAGCAGGCACACTGGAGGCCTGGGTCAGGGAGCCCCAGGGGCCCGGGCAGGGGGCAGTGCTTGTACCTTATCCAGTGTGCTGGGGTAGGCTGCTGCCCTTCAGAGTTCACATCTCCAGGAGGGGTGCTCTCCCTCTTGTGTCCCTCATCACCTTTGTCATTCTTTGCTGCCCCCTGCTTTCTTCCTACTACCACCACCACCAATTTTAAGGCCTTTTAATTCAGACTTGCTTTCTGCTGGACTTCTGCCCCTGTGCAAGTGGGGGAATTAAGTCGGAACAGGGAGGCAAGCAGAGTTGTGAGAAGGGGAACTGGGAGGGCCCGTTTTAAATGATATGCCAGCATCTTGATAAGTCTTGGCATCTAGGGGTCCTTCTTCCCCAAATTTGAGAAAACAAACTGAGTGGGGGGTTCTGAGCTCACAACTGGGAGCAGAAGGCAGAGCATCCACCCCTCCAACCTCCCCATGTAGACAGTCATTTGGGGCCATTCCTTGGAGAGGGGAGAGAGTAGGAATGGTTTCAGTGCCCCAGGGTGACTGGGCTTGTATGAGTGGGGCTGTAAGTCCAGGGTTCCAGCCTCAGGCCCTCCTGTCTCGCTGTAATCTATTCAAGTTAGCATAATATTTGGCCCTGTATGCTATAAGGCTCTCCTGAGGTACCGCCTATGAATGCACTTTGGAAAGTTTAAAGGCATGAAACAAAAGACAGAAATTGACCTGTCAGTGAAGGAGGAGTGTGGTTATCTCAGAGATGTTCTATAAATTTGGGAGTTAGTGGGAATGTTTCAAGTCCTGCTAGTAGGCAGTATGTTTCAGGGTCTAGCTGAATGTCACAGATTTCGATATGTTTGTGAAAGCCAGGGTGTATTGTATGGCCAGGCTATGATGGAGAGTGGTATACAGGCTGTGATGGAGAATGGTATACAGACTTCAGGGAGGGGTGCCTGGGTAACAGATGGTCAGTATGTGTATGTAATAGCCTATCACAGGTTCAGGAGTGTAGTGCAGTTTTGGTGTGTGTATTGGGAGTCAGGGTGCATGGGTGTCATAGGTCCTAGTGTGTAGGAAGGCAGGATTTGGCATAGACTGTATGTGTGTCCTGGGTTTGGGTTTATTTAAGGTTTGAGGTATATCACAGGCTGAAGTGTGTATCAGGTACTGATTTAAGTGAAAGCGAGATGTGTTGTTTGTGTGTGGAGTGTGTTTACAGAACCAGGTGCAATATTGCATGGTCAACCGGTGTGTATTTCATGAGAAGTCCTGTCTTGGGACTCGGTATGTGGTTGAGGGTGGGCAAGGAATAGGGAGCAGTGACTCAAGTTACAAGAAATAGGTCTGGATCACAGTGCCCCCTACCCCGCCCCCCCGTGTGTGTGTGTTTTCTTTTATGCCTGGTAGGACCTGGACCACTACCCAAGTTTTAGAAACAACCCCCTCTCTTGGGATTCACCCCTTGCATGGGATAACAGACTCTACACCAGTAACCACACACCTTTCTTTCCTGGGATGGGGAAGGATTTGGCAGCAGACTATAGGCACCTTCCGGAGACCCTTGGATGGGCAAATTTGCCTTCCCTAGCACTGACAGTGTTTCTCCCTGGCATCCATGTGTCTCTGGTGTTGGGGAGGGGGCTTCCTGCTAATGCATACCTAGGTCAGGGCTTGGAACTTAAGTGGGTTGGGGGCAGGGAGCCTGGAGTGTCCCCCTCCTCCAATCTGTGTTTTACAGGCTGAAGTCAGAGTGTGTCTCTTGTCAAAAATAACCCCCTGGAGCCTCCCCGCAGCTGCTCTGGGATTTCACCAGGGGCTGAAGCCCAGGGTGTCAGCCCAGGCCAATCTTCAACCTGAAAGGTCACAGGGGAGAGTAAGAGAGGTTTGGGGGACGTTTGGGTGGCAGTGTGAAGATACTGGAAGTCTCCAGAGAGGAAAGCACCCTCCTTCATCTCTGCCTGAGGCTTTGACTCCCCAGCACACCCGGCTTCCCCAACCCCCAGCGCCAGGCTTGGTGCTGGGGGTGGGGGCATTTCAGTTCCTGGCCCCCCACAAGCCTCCCCTGCGTCCAGGTCTGTGCAGACCCAGCCTGTTCTGTCTGCCATCTCTCTGTCCCCTGTCTCTCCCAGTCTCTGTCACTCTTTTGTTTTTCTCAGCAGTCCTCTCCGCCTGCCTCCCTCTCTCCCTCTCTCCCTCTTCCTCTTTTCTCGCAGGGAGGGGCGGGGCCGGTGGGGGCAGCTCCACCCTCCGCCCGCCCTGGGGCCTCATTCTGAGAGGCTCGGAGAGAGGGCGGGGAAGGAGGGCTAGAAAGGGAGAAAAGGAAGGGAGCCGGCGGGCGCTGCGTGTGTCTGTGCGTGTGCGAGTGGGAGTGGGAGTGCCGGGCCCTACTTCTCCTGGTGCCCCGGCAGAGGGGCCTGGTGGCTTGGGGAGGGCGGGCGGGCTGCTTGGAGGCAGAGGCAGCGAGAGGAGGCGGCGGCGGGGAGAGCCGAGGAGGAGGAGGAGAGAGGAAAGAGCGGAGCAGCCATTGTTGAGGGAAACCTTGCAAACAAAGAAGGCTCCGGACTCCCCGCAGCCCCTCGCCCCCCAGACCGGCCTCCCGGCCCCCGGCCCCCGGCCCAGTGGCCATTGTAACTTTCCCCCGGGGTTGCAGCCGCCGCCTGGCAGGCCGAGGCTGTGCGTGCGAGTCTTTGTGCGGCCGGTGTAGTGGAGCTCTTAGCCAGGCCTGCCTGTCCCACTCGGGACATGAGCGATTGAAGTTGGGCCCCCTCAGCCCTCAACCCTGCCAGGGCCCTTTTGGGCTTCCAGCCGTTCCTTGCACCTCTCCTGGCCCCTTCAGTTCTCCCAGGTAAGTTTGGGCACCCTTCAAGCCTGTTGGGGTTGGGGAAGATCCTCCGTCTAGCCCAGGCCTGGTATGCTGGCTAGGGGAATGGTGCCCCAGCTCACAGAGGCCAGGGCTCTCAGGCTTGCTGACCTACGGTCAACGCCCAAAGGGAGGGGCCTGCCCTCAGGTCAGAGTGGTTACCAAAGAAATACCCAGCTGGAAATTCCCCCTCAGCCCCAGGATGCAGCTACCATCATGAGAAAACTTTACTCGTTCTGGTAAGGGCTTCTAGACTGCTAGAGGTGGGAGAAGGGGCTATGTTTGACTCCCAGACTGGATGACACATCTCCACCCCCACCCCCACCTTGCTGCTTCTACCCCCGCTGCTGAGGACAGGCAGCAATAGGGACAGATGGTCTGGGTGATGTTCCCTCCCCTTCTCACTCCCAAGCCCTTGTGCTTGGGCTACTGGGAGTTGCTGTGGCTCTGGAGAGATGCTGAGTTTGTTTGTGTCCATTCACTGGAGGTGCAAATAGAGGCCCCAGAGCTTTGGGTGTCAGTGCCTCAGAACTGTTACCCAGCCCCAGTCAATGTCTGTCAGTTGTCTAGTGAGAGAAATTGAAGTACTGAAACTTTCAGAGTTAGAGAGAAGCCCAGCTGTCCTATCTCCCTTTTCTTTAGGGTCTTAAGGTGACACATTTCTTAAAGTGACCTTGAAACTGAGGGGCAGGGGCAGTAGTTCTTTTGGGGAAAGGATGGCTTAGTTAGTTGACAAGGGCCAGATCTGGTAATCAAGACTCTCGTATTCATTGCCCAGGCCTGGTCTCTGGTGGGCTGTGTGAGCTTTGGCTTCCTACATGGTCTTAGTCTACCTGTCTGTGCAGGGGGGAGACTTGGGCGTGGGTGGGACTGCTCCTTTCCTGAGCCAGGCTCCTCATTCAGTTCATACAGGCTGGTGAAGGCTGTGTGTGCTATGCTGGGAGCATGTGGATGGGGCCTGTGAGAGATCCCACATGGTGCGAGGGCCTGATGTGGGCACCTTGATGCTGCCTGGGGCTGCTGGGTTCTAGCCCTGGGTAGGCATGTTGGGGCAAGCTGAGGGTGGAAGCCTGCTAGGCAGGATGAGGCACACGTGTGTGCAGGCACACACAGGCTCTTGGCACCTTCAGGACTGTGTAGTGTAGGCACCTCTGGGACCCCCCTTTTGCCCATATTGTAAGGAGGGGGGCCTGGGGAAATAATTAAATGACACACATGTTGGCACAGGGTCTTCCTTTGTCTTCCCCCCCCCCCCCAAGGAACAAAATAGATTTTGTATCTAAATTGAAGTGGAGGCTCAGATACAGCCAATACTGCTACCCTTAACTAATGCAGTCAGTTTTGGGAAAGTGAGGAACTGTGACTGACATAGACTGGGACCAAGATCTTGGTACCATGCCTCATTTTCTTTTTCTGTCTAGTAGGGAGGGGGAGAATAACATTGCATGGTTACTTGGCTCATACCCAACCATGAATGTAACACTTTTTCCAGTCAGGAAATAGTACACCAGGAACTGTGTGCTGCTGGGTTCGGTGGAGGGGGAACATGTTGCACAGGCACAGATAGACACAAGTAAAGACTGCTGTCTAGTTACCACGTGCTCTTACACTGAATCCCCTGGAACCCAGGCTCCTTCTTAGGCTTCTTGTTTTCCATTTGTAAGTAGAGTGGGCTCCAATGGAGGTCCATTTACCTCCCTCCCCCACTGCAAGTCTCAGAAGAGAAAGAGGTTTAAGACTTTGGGATTCTGGTTTGGAGGCAATACTAGCCCCATGGTGGGTGTGGAGGAGGGGGCTAGGTTGATAAGGGAATGGCCGTTGATGGGGAAGGCAGAGGGCCCTACTGGTTATCTGGTGGGCGGCACCCAGCAGACATCCCTACCCCCCTTTATCTTTTTATCCCCTGCTCTCCTGAGACCCTGGGGGTGGAGGAGGGGCAAAGAGTTGGCAGAATCCCCCTAACCCCTCCCACAACTTGGTCTCTGAAGGCCATAGAGGGATATAAATACTCCAGGATATGGGAATCAAGATCTGGGCTCAAGTCCTATCTCTGCCAGTTACTAGCTTTATGAACTTGGTAAATCCCCTTAGCTGTTCAGTTGCCTTTCAGGACTGTTAGCGTTGACCCTACCTGTTGTGATGATTGAACAAAATAATGTTGATGGAAAGGGGAGGTTATCAAAATTAGATTCTAATATTTGGATATTTATTTATTATATGGTAGTGATTCTTCTTCCCAGTTTTAATTTTATGATCCAGGACTCAGCCACATGTGAAATGGGATCTTGGGTGTTAGGGCTGAGTATGTTTAGTTTCTTCATAAAACAAGGTGGGAGCCAGACATAGAAGCAGAACCAGGTGCTCACCTAGGGTAGTCCCTCTTTGCTAGTCCAATCAGGGGACCTCTTCTTTCTCTCCCTTATAGGTTGTTCCTCAAAGTCATTCAAGCTGTACTCGCCGAAGGAGCCCCCGAACGGCAACGCCTTCCCCCCCTTCCATCCCGGCACCATGCTAGATCGGGATGTAGGGTGAGTCTCTTACCACTATCATCCCTCTCCAGATGGGATCCTGCCTGAAAGAGGGAGGGAGTGACACCCCCTAATAATTCCTGTGTTCCACCTCCATTCTCATAGTCTCTTCCCTTACACAGCCCAACTCCCATGTACCCGCCTACATACCTGGAGCCTGGGATTGGGTAAGTGGAGTCCAGTGGGGAGGGAGGTGCTTTCCATTACCCGGATGAAGGCAGAGGTGGTGGGGTGGGGAGGCTCTTCTCCTACTGATCTCCCTTCTTCATTTCCTCCAGGAGGCACACACCATATGGCAACCAAACTGACTATAGAATATTCGAGCTTAACAAACGTCTTCAAAACTGGACAGAGGTAAGGCCAGGGAAAGCTGGGAGGGGAAGGGCCATCTGGGCATTCCTGTGGGATGTCTCTGGTACACACATTAACAGCCCTACTTGTGCTCCTTAGGAGTGTGACAATCTCTGGTGGGATGCTTTTACAACAGAGTTCTTTGAGGATGATGCCATGTTAACCATCACTTTCTGCCTGGAGGATGGACCAAAGAGATATAGTGAGTGGCTTCTGGGGGTCCTGCCAGTTCTGTGAGAATGTATATCTCCTATGTCCTTTTAACGTCTGGGAGTAGCTATTTGTCCCAGGGAATTTGCCTTGGCAGGGGTGGCATCTGCCTGATCCCTTTTGATGTCCTGTTCTAAAGAGTTTGTCCTACTTCTACAGCCATTGGCCGGACCCTGATCCCACGCTACTTCCGCAGCATCTTTGAGGGGGGTGCTACGGAGCTGTACTATGTGCTTAAGCACCCCAAGGAGGCATTCCACAGCAACTTTGTGTCCCTTGACTGTGATCAGGGCAGCATGGTGACCCAGCACGGCAAGCCCATGTTCACCCAGGTCAGCAGTCCAGCTGAATGTGGAACACTGAAGCACCTGGGATTGATTCCACTCCTCTCTCCCAAGCTATACTAAGCTGTTCCCCAAGGAGGCATAATGGGAAGTAGCAAGATAAGAAGGGAGGGCAGGCATGCTGCAACATTCAGATGTTTATTGAGTTTGTACTTGATGATATTCTGGACCATGGGTACACCAGTGAGCAAGCGCCCGCCCTCATAGAGCTTATAGCAGATAATGAGTGTGTTATTAGCTACATGAGGAGGAAGCAAGGATCTGTTAAACATTTCTACCATGTATGTGTAAGGACCAGGGGTGTAACAGACAAGTAAGGGGATGGTCTCTGTCAGTTACGCACCCAGATCTATGTGCAGGTGGCAGAAGTGTTTGCAGTGGGAGAGTTATGAGCAAACAGAACAGGTTTACTTTGAGGTATGTGGGGAGGGGCCAGAGTTGTGACAAACTTGTCTCCAGGTGTGTGTGGAGGGCCGGTTGTACCTAGAGTTCATGTTTGACGACATGATGCGGATAAAGACATGGCACTTCAGCATCCGGCAGCACCGAGAGCTCATCCCCCGCAGCATCCTTGCCATGCATGTGAGTTGTGGGCAGGACCTAGGACGCAAGGGTGAGGGCAGGCAGTAGGCAGGGTGGATGTGACAGGGCTATCATTTCCTGACAGTGACCTTAGACAGAGGGTTAAACTTTCTCCATCTGAAAAATGGGTTTAATAATAGCCCCTCTTGTTTCTCAGGAGTGTCATGAGACTCAGATGATAGGGCAGGTGAGCAAATGGAACTCAGGTACTAGTATTTTTATTTTCCCTCCCTGCACATTCCTCTAGGCCCAGGACCCCCAGATGTTGGATCAGCTCTCCAAAAATATCACCCGGTGTGGGCTGTCCAATTCTACTCTCAACTACCTCCGAGTGAGTCTCTGACCACCCAGTTTCTGTCCCAGCTTGTTTGGTCTTAAGCTCCATGTCTCTTCCTGACAAGCCACCTCCTGGTCTCCCTTCAGCTCTGTGTGATACTTGAGCCCATGCAGGAGCTCATGTCCCGCCACAAGACCTACAGCCTCAGCCCCCGCGACTGCCTCAAGACCTGCCTTTTCCAGAAGTGGCAGCGCATGGTAGCACCCCCTGGTGAGTGCCTCAGGCCTGCACTTCCTCTTACAGGATCTGATGCCACTCCCCAAGGCTGTATCTCTGTCTTCTTATGAAGTCCCTTTCTCGCTCTTTGGTCTGCAAGATTGGGATCAGGGTAGGCTCAGGCTCCTCAGGAGCCTGGAATGGAGAGCGAGGGGCCCAGGGCCCTCCCCTACCTAAGTCTCCTTTCCTTGGCACAGCGGAGCCTGCACGGCAGCAGCCCAGCAAACGGCGGAAACGGAAGATGTCGGGGGGCAGCACAATGAGCTCAGGGGGTGGCAATACCAACAATAGCAACAGCAAGAAGAAAAGCCCAGCCAGCACGTTCGCCCTCTCCAGCCAGGTACCTGTAAGCATCTCGGCTTTCTTCTCTCTTCTGGGCTGCCCCACTGCTGGCCCCTGACCCTTGACCTTGTCCCAGCCTGAGCTCACTAGCAGGTGTAGAAGTAAAGACAGTTTTGTCTAGTGTACTCTGCCAGCATGGGCTGATGCCTGTCACTGATGAGAGTGTCGGTCACATGCAAGGTTGTACTCACACAGACTCAGACACAGCAACATAGAACATAAATGGACAGAGACAGCCATGAGAACCTACAGGCATTCAGGTTAGACAGCCTGGGGGCATTCAGACCATCAGAAACATATACACTCCCACTGACAGGCACGCACTTTCTTGAATGTGTGAATCTAGAATGCATGCACATGCACGCATTCCCCACTGGTGTTTTTGATCTGTTCCTCCTTTCCTACATGTGGACAGTTTAAGACTCCCTAAAATTTTGGGGAGGTGGACTAGAGAGCTAGGGGAGTAGATTGACTACCCCTCCCAGAATCTTGTGGATGTAGGTTAAAAGCTGTGATGCTCTGTAGTCTTTTGGTGGAAAGGATTCTAGGGGCTGAGGGTGTAAGAGGAGTTGGGATTTTAAATTTGGGTATGAGAAGGGGGTGGGGGTGTTGAGTTTCCTGGGTGGGTTTTGGGGTTCTGGGGGTATCTGCTGCCCTGGGCTGGGCGAGCCCCTGCCCCGATTATGTTTGGGGACCTCCACCACTCTCAGGATGTGATGGTGGTGGGGGAGCCCACCCTGATGGGCGGGGAGTTCGGGGACGAGGACGAGAGGCTCATCACCCGGCTGGAGAACACCCAGTTTGACGCAGCCAACGGCATTGACGACGAGGACAGCTTTAACAACTCCCCAGCCCTGGGCGCCAACAGCCCCTGGAACAGCAAGCCTCCATCCAGCCAAGAAAGCAAATCGGAGAACCCCACATCACAGGCCTCCCAGTAAAGGTCTTACCATGGCTACCCAGTGCTCTGCGTGCCTGCTCCACCCCTTGCAGCCCCAGGGAGCAGAAGACAGAATGAAAAGACTGAGCATCTAAAATGGTCAGGCTCCGTCTACTTCAGGGAGGAACTGGACTCGGTGGGGGCAGGTGCCAAGATTTGCCCCCCGGTGGCCCTGGGTTGGGCCTGGCCTCTTCAGAGCCTTTTGGGGGAAAGGGATACTCATGCGGATGTCTACATGAACTCTGGGCCTCTGAAAAATGTCCTGACCATCCGGAGCATTTACTTCCATCCTCACCCCACATCAGGGTTCCCCATCCTCCTGACTCTACCCCTTCAAGCCTGGGGTTGTCTGTACCCACAGCCGTTAGGGATTTAAAGTTATGGGACTTGGTTCAGTGACCCTCCCCCAAACTTCCCCCCAGGTGGCTGGTCGTAGAGGGGTAAAGCTCTGGGCTCCTCTCTGCTGCCACCTATCTCAGCTCCAAGTTTTTTTTTTAAAATAATATTATTAAAAATGTAAGTTTAAAAACAAGCCACTCATGTACCCCCTTTTCCCCTTATTAAAAATCCAGCTACCTCCCTACTCCTGGCTTAGGTGGAGGCGAGCGTGAGGGTAGGGGGTACGTATCACCATTTTATAAAGTGTGAGAGCTTCAGACCAAGGAGACACTTTGCCATCTCTTCCCTTTTCCTCTGGGGTGACTGGAGTTGGGGAAGGCATGCCATGGGGTAAGGGACCATTGATGGCCTCGCCTTTGTGACAGCTCCTTGTTGTTGGGCTGTCTCCCCATCCTCCAAGACTCTGTCCTGCCTCCTAGTGCTTGTGATTCCCTCTAGCCCAGCCCTCAATCCCCTGTCCCGGTGGTGTGAATATTCTTTACAAGCCTCCACTAGAGCAGCTGTCTTGGATGGGGGTGCGGGGAGGATCCCTCCCTTGGAGTGCGGAGGGAAGGGAGCAGCCTTGTTTGTTTGTCCTGTGTTTCTTGTTTTGTCTCAGTTGGGCAGACATGGGATGGGGCAGGGGTTCACTCCAGTACTTGTTCCCCAGCCCCTCAAACTGCATATGTAGTCCTTCCCTGCCCTCCGTAGAGGGGAAGGAGCCTCTGAGGATATCCCAGCTCTTAAGCCCACTAGGGAACATAGGCCTCTGCCTCAAGCTGAAGTAGAGGGTCTTCCTCTACTTCATAGAAGCCCCTCCCTCCCCTTTCTCATAGAAGGGAGGTGGGGGAGCCAGGATCCTTAGTTCTGTTTAACAGTTGGACATGTGGAGGCTTGACCCAGGGTGAGGCCAAAGCAGGGTCCTATCAGTCTGGGCCCACCTCTGGCTTTGCTACCTGTTCTGTGGCCAGATCCGGAAGTGCTAGCACCATCTCTCCCCACTCATCCATGTGGATTTTGGGGTCCCCCACACTCTGCTTCCTCCACTGGGTATTGTGTCAGGAGCTGAGGGAAGGGGTGGTGAAGATGGATGTCCTGCCCCAACTGTAATGCCTTTTTTTTTTTGGGGGGGGGCCATTTGAGTCATGTATGGTACCGATCAATAAAGAGACTTTTTGGTTTGAGAGTGTCTTGGTTGGTCATTAATACTTAGTAAGGACTTAGTCAAGGCAGTCTTCCCCCTTCCTGCAGTCCCCAAGGCCAGTCACTGAGGAGGATGCATGGATTCCCCTTCACTCCCTTCTCACATTTCCATACACTTGTGTTACTCCTCATGTGTCTTAGGCTGGTCCCATCTCCCCCAAAAGTTGACTTACCTGCTCCCTTTCTAGCTTACCCCTAACTGTCATGGGGCAGCCAGACAGGTGGCCCTCCTGAGGCAGAGCTCTCGATTAGGCTGTTGCTGGGGAAGGCTGGGGAGGAGGCTGGGGAGAAGGGTTCTTGCCTGGGAGGGGGATTGGGTTGGAGGAACTTTGAATGGTTAGTGTCTGGGAGACTCAGTCCTGTTTTGTCAGTACCTGTCTTGATCCTACCAAGCTTCCAGCCTACAAGCCCAACTCAGACCTGACCTCGTCTCTCCTGGTATTAGGTCCCTGGGTAGGGAAGTAAGAGGAGCTAGATTGTCTCTTTGCTGACTTTGGTTGGGGGCACAGAGGGAGGAGGATTCCTGAGTGCTAATGGGTAGGGGGCAGCCTGAAGTTCCATCAAAAGAGGAGGAATAGGACACATTTCAGACCTTTTCCCAGGTAGTGATTCCTTTCCAGGTAGTTACTACCACCCCGCCTCTCTGCCCCTGCCCTACCTCCTGTCAGTCCTCTACCATTAAATATTAGCAAGATAGGAAGACTTTGTCTACCTTTTGGGTTGGGAATGGGGTCTTAGCACCTGCAAAGCTCCCTATCCAGTTTCCCTCATTTTCATCCCAGGCAGGAGAATCAGACTATTTCCTCTCTAAGGTGTCTGGATTTGAATGAAGTAAGGCCTCACAGACATATGCCTCAACCCTCACCTGCCCAGCTGGCAGAAGAAACCAGAGGGAAGGACTACAGGGCCTAACCCAACCCCTCTCCAGTCCAGGTATTTACTCCAGCTCATTACCCTAGGGTCTTAGGACACCAAGGCAGGCATTTACACACATATACCCAACTCTGCAAGCCTGATCTAACTGAAGGACGGTTATTGGCCAGGTGCTACCACTTAACTCACCCTGAGATTGCTAGGTATTATCTACCTGCAGGGCATCTGTGTCCAGCACTAGTTTTTACAGGACTGTGTGCCAGTGTAGTATGTATATGTGTGACTGCTGAGCTGGGAGAGGGCTTGGATATGTGTAAGGGAACATACACATATGTGAATATGTACGCATTTGTTTATGGTATGTGTCTTGGTGGATTCATTCATTCAGCTAATATTCATTGAGCCCTCTCCAGGTGCCAGGCCCAACTCCAGCTGCTAGGGATAGGGTGCTGAGCAAGGCAGAGATGCCATAACTGGTGAGTGAGTGGGAAGCTACAAGTATATAAATGAGTATGTGTTCTTGAATGCATGGCTTGGCAGTACGAGTGCATTGGGTTATGGGGCGGGGCAGTGTGTTGTGTGACTAGGTTGGGCATTTGTAGGTTCATATCCTGTGTGTGTGTGTGTATGTTTCAGAGAGGTGGGGGTCAAGGGAAGCGGTAGATTGCCAGGTCTGGATTCTGCCCTGCTGGGGGAAGGGAGTGGGCCAGAAAAAGAAGGGAACCCACTTTTTGAACTCAGGAAACACAGTGGCCAGGGACTTCCTGTAGAGTCCCAGATCGGCTCCTCCCTGTTTGTCCCAGCAGCCCCTCTGGGGAAGGCCCTTGGTCAGGAGGAATTGCTGGGGTGGAGGAAGGGAGAGGCCCTTCAAGGCCCTCATGTCCTGCTTCCAGGTGTAGGTATGGGCCCAGCCCAGAACCCAGCATGATGCTGAAAAACTGTTCAGTCCAAGAGTGTACCCCAGTCAACCCCCACTGCAGAGGTGATGCCGGGGTTCTTGTTCACGTAGCCGAAGAATGAGCTTCACAAACATTCAGGGTAGGAGAGCAAGGGACAGGCTTTTATTTAGAAATAAAGTGAGAGGACAGAGCTCTCAGGTCGCGCCAGGAGGGGACAAGAGAGTCCATAGTGGTGCGTTGTCTAGGGGGGTTTTATAAGCAGTTGAGGATTTTTCGAGAACCTGAAAAAAACCTTAGGGGTGTGGACTTGCATCACCTGCCCTGTCCTCAAGGTGGGCTAGGTCATAGTCTGATTGCTAGGGCTGACAGCAGAGTCACAGGTTATGCTGATACCCTTGCAGAACACTCAAACATTCCAGGCCAAGTTGCTCCTGGCCTTTTGACCTTTAACTGATCTCACTGAAGACGTCTATATCTTTACCCTAGAGAATTAGTGTGACCTTGACTTTGCATAATGCTTAGCACAGACTTTCAATAGGGACTTCTTTGCCCATCGTTACATTGCTCTGACTGTAAATATTCCACCTTGCTTTTCCCGGAGGACCTCACCCTACTCTGTCTAAGCCCATGGTCCCAGTCTTATTCCCCCCTCTACAGATGGAGACCCTAGCTGCTGCTAGGGAAAGGGGGCAATGACCGCCCTGGCTGCTTCATGCTGAGAAGGGGCGCAGTAAAGGGTGCAGTTAGGTCTCCATCAGTGGTCAGTTGAGAGGGCCTCGGAAGATTGGTGCTTCTATTCCAGATTCTATTTCTATTACTATTTGCAGTTTTGTGACTTCTAGGCAAGATAGAACAAACTGTGTTATTAGGTTAAGTAGCAACATCTGGAGTTGAATTTTCCATTCTGGAGGTACAAACTTGATGAGATTAAGAATGCATGGCTGAATATGAGGACTAGAAATAGTAAAACTTTAATTGAAATGATAGGAGAAAACTAAAACATCTGGAAAATCATAGCCAGATATTTTGAAGAAACTAGAATTCTGGATCTAGTTTATGTCCCAATGACTAGTATTAGGATTTAGTATGGATAAGGCTACATTATTGAAACAATACTTTTCTCTAAAATTACCCTCATTTGTATTAGAAGCAACCAGGATAAGAAAACAATTAACACTTGGCTTTATTATTTGCATAAGTGTAGCAAAAAGAGCAGTTGATTACATAGGCTCTTCTAAATGTGCTTTGCTGGAACTTTTTGTAAGGAATTTCAGGTTGAACTTTTAAAAGCTTCTCAAGGCCAGAAAGCCAAGCCAGACTTGCCATCAGGTTTTGCCTGCAGTAATTGTAGATTTGGGCAAATTCCTCTCTTCTCGAGGTCCCCAAGACATTCCTGAGTTTCCTGCACCTGCCAGGAAGTGATCTTCTCCTTACTCACCTGGTAAGGCTGCTGGGAACCCTGTAAGCAAGGTACCAGGCCAGTTCTTCCAAGGGGCTTTGTTGGCTCCATAAAGTCAATCTTAGTTCCTTAAAGCTGTTCATATCTGAGTTTATGCACATGTCTCTCAGGTATGACATTCCAGTCAAAGCCTTGGTAGTATAACCTGTGTTTTTAATTGGTCCTCTTTCTAGGAAAGCAGGTTCTTATTGAATTTATGCAAATAAACATACTGCCATGAAATATAAAAATAGTCACTGAGGGTTTTTAAATTCTGGAGGGATCAGGTAGAGAGAAAGATAAGTTTCAATTCTGCTTATAAAGATTAGTCATTTAATAAACTGTTGTCAGCTTAAAAGAAAAAGCTTAAAACACTTTATCAGCAACATTTGAAACAAAAAGCCACAAAATCATCTTCCTTAGTTTACTTAATCCTATTTAACCAATGCCTGTTCTGCTGAATTCTAGTTCTTTACTAGCTTAGGAGTAATAAAACAGTGGCTATAAATGACAAAAGACTTACAAATGACAATGGTTAGAGATCTGATGAGAACTTACTGTAAGAGCTGATATAAGGAAATTCGGATATTTCTGTAACACAAAACATTCAGTAACAAAGTTTAGCATCATCCCCTTTGATGGTGCTTTCCAGGTAATTAAGCAGGTAATTATACATCAGATAAATAAGCCAAATTAACCAAATACTTTGTCCAATGAGAAAAAATTCATCTGACATGTTCCAGGGGCCCTCTGGAAAATATCAGAGTTAACTAGATGTAAAAACACCTTTTTGCATTTGATTTTTTTTGGGGGGGGGGGCACTTGCTTAAATAGGATTATAGGTTGCCATGAAGCAATACTTACCCATTTAACCAGAATGACAATAAAATACTTCAAAGGCAAATAAAGGTTACACAGTTAGCAAAGTTTAGCTTTTAGTCCTTTTAATATTAAGATCTCATTTTCTTAAATACTCTGACAACTCAGACTTTAAGCATGAGAAACTACTTTGATAAAACAATTAGGGAACCCTTTGTGATCTTTCAATATTAAGAGCAGACTAACAGTTAAGAAAACTTTGTCTTTTTAACTGAAAACAAAATTCTAATTTTGCTGTGTACTTGATACCGAGACTCATTTGCTTTAATTTTATATAGCATGACCATATTAAATTATTCCACAAACTTTCTACAACCTTCTTTTTACATTTAGAATTCTCCCTCTAAATAAACAGCTGTACTTTAGAACAAAGTTACTTTCTTTTATCAAAAGACACATTCTTTAGCATGCAAAAATGTTTTCCTTATTACTTTAAGTAGTTTTAATGAGAACGTAAAACCATTAGGTACCTTAATTTTTAGTGAACACTGAGAAGCAGGCTATTATAAACTGTTACACTAGCCTTCTTTAGATTAACAAATTTATGAACATTTTATAATTTCTGTAACTATGAGCTTTACAGCGTAATCTCTCACTAAATACAAAGTATATCTTCTTAACTTAGCAAAACTTTAAGGTTTTAGGTTACCACAAAGATTCTCAGGCTGTAGGTAGGTATACACACTGTAACACACAATTATTATTAAGAAGTTCACTTGCTACATTTAGTTTACTCATTCTTAACAACTATGCTAGACTATTTACAAAACCTTTACTGAATATTAGACAAAGTCAAGCCTCTAAGCATTTTATTCTTGAAAGATTTAGCAGGTAACATCAACTTAAATGACTTTAAATAAACTTAGGCAGCTGATAACCATAAGGACATGTCTG